CAAACTTCAACTACATATTATAAATTTTACTTACAAAGAAACATAAACAGTTTATAATATTTAAAAAAAATTCACTGGTTATATCACGTTAGCCATTTATTTCAAGTGCTTCATTGTCTGCGCAAGAGCTTTAAAACTCCATACATGTTAAGACTCAATTCGTTTAAAACATTTTTATGTTCTCAATTTGTAATTTAAAGATTTTTATTTAAAAAAATTAAAAATGCACAAAATTAATTTTTTTTATTTTTTTGAGTTATTAAAAGAAATATTTTTCAACTGATTGAATGGTAACGTTGAGTTGATGTAAAGAATGAAAAATATAAACCAGAGCAATGTGTCTGCTTGAACGTTCGTGAGTTAGAAATTTCAATCATAATAAATGAAAAACTTGATATATGGAAGGATTCAATGATGCATGGAAGAATGATTTACGCATACATGGATGGATGGATGAAAAAATTTTCTAAAGAGTGAACCAACCTAATGAGAAGAAAATTGAAGTGTACAATAAAAACAGTGGAGCATATACGAAGGCATGAACAACAATTTAAACAATGATGGCGTTCATTGTTGATGGTGAGTCGCTGAGTCAATGAGTCAATGAATAAAAGAACAATGTTAAAATGAATGAATGAATGAATGAATGAATGGATGGATGGATGGATGGATGGATGGATGGATGGATGGATGGATGGATGGATGGATGGATGGATGGATGGATGGATGGATGGATGGATGGATGGATGGATGGATGGATGGATGGATGGATGGATGGATGGATGGATGGATGGATGGATGGATGGATGGATGGATGGATGGATGGATGGATGGATGGATGGATGGATGGATGGATGGATGGATGGATGGATGGATGGATGGATGGATGGATGGATGGATGGATGGATGGATGGATGGATGGATGAATGAATGAATGAATGTGCAGATGGAGTAATAAATAAAGAAGGCTCGCTTAATAAATAAATGAACAAACGAAAACGAAAAAATGAATGAATGAATAAATGATAGAGTGAGGGAACAAATGAGTTAAACAGGATAAAACGAAGCAAGTTGGTAGGATTAATTAAAGGAGGGTCTCTTTAAATATGCAAGGCGATGTCTTGCATTGGTGGTCGTTTGAAATGTCTCCAGTTTTTTAGGCTCTTCTTGTTTGTTGTTGTTGGTGTTTTCAGTTTTTTCAACTATGCTGTTTATTGTTGGCTGCTGGTTCCGATGTTGGTTGCTTGTTGCTGGTTGCACTGTTGGTTGCTGGTTGCATTGGTGGTTGCCGAAGAAAGTTTTCAATTTGTTGAATGTTTGTGGTTGGTTGTTTAAGGATGCCGTTTCTGTTGTTCATTCTATGTTTTTGTTTTGATGTTTTTTTTGTTCGCTTAGTTGTAGCTGGTAGTGTTTGAAAATACTTTAAGATTAATTTAGACGTTGATATTCATTGTGAATGTATGTGTAAATATGTGTATCTGTGTTTGTGTGTGTGTGTTTCTTTGTGTTTGTGTGTTTGTTTGTTTGTATGACCGGGTGTGTGTATTGAAAGCATGTCGTAGCAACAAATAACATGTGTTGAAGATAACGTTCAAAAAAGAACACACATAACCATCAGTTACGCATAAACATTAAATTTCAATTTTTTCAATCTGCAAATTGTTCATCCTTACCATGCTTTTTTCTACTCATTCCAACTTTGTTGTTTCATTCATTTTTTTTATTCATTTATTCATTCATTCATTCATTCATTTATTCATTCGGTCCCTCATTCTTTCAATTTCTTCATCTTCTCCAGTTTTTCACTTTTGAAAAGATAGCCCCACAAAAAAAACTTGCCGCAGGACAAAGCCGACGGGACGACGACGAGCACGCTCTTCATAAAGCAGACGTTGCAGAAGCACTTCCGCAGGTACATCGTCTGCGCCCTCAACACCATCGGCTATAAGGAGATGTCCGTCTTGCTGAGACAACGTGGGTCGCTGGCCGGCTGGCTGTGTGATGTCTTTTAGAATTTTTTTAGGAAGTTTGATGGTGATGGTGTTGGTGCTGGTGGTGTTGTTGTTGTTGTTGTTGTTGTTGTTGTTGTTGTTGTTGTTGGTAATGGTGGTGGTGGTGGTGGTGGTGGTGGGGAGAATGGTGGCGATGTTTATAAAACTTTGCAGTAATTGGGATGAAATTGATGGTGATATTGATTAGGATTAGGATGACTGTTACAATAATAATAATAATAATAACAATAATAATAAGGGTTGTGGCGTTGACAACGGTAAGAAATAAAAATAAAATTTCTGTGGTATAATTTTAATTAAATTACAAAATTTTCATAAAATAATGAAAATGATTTGTTTGAAAGTATCAAAAGTTTAAAGGAACGAAATTGCTTTGAAGAATTTTTCTGTTTATTTTATTTAACAAGCATCATTTTATCAAAAAATTTCATTATTACCATAATCAGCATTATCACCACCACCAAATTGATCACCACCACCACTAAATTGATCACCACCATCACTAAACTGATCACCACCACCACCATATTTTTTACCACCGCACTAGGTCCTCCCCCAGATCGGCAGTTCAGAGTTGAGCACTACACGAAAACGAAGCGACTACAGCAGCAACACAGAGTGGACGTGTTCACATCGAAGTACGCCAGTGGCTCCAACTACGCCCACACCAGCCACAACTTCAGCCCGACCATCCATGCGACTAGCTGCTTTTGTTGGGTCTTCGTTGCAGTTGTCATAACACTCTTTGCTTGCAAAATATTCACCTCGTTACATTTCGATCTAAATGTTTTGCTGTTTCTCAAACATTATGTTGGGTTTTATCATTGTTTGGCTAAAAATATTCATCACCCAATTTACAATTTCTGTGTCGGTCATAATCACCATCATTATCACCATTATCATCAATATCATCATCATAACGATGACGATTATTTTCTATTTAATAAGCATTATTTTATTGATCATTACCGTCAACATGCTGGTGATGATGATGATGATGATGATGATCAGTTTTCTTTTCGTTTTAATTATTGGGTCATTTGTAATAAAAATTTGTTTATTCCCTTACGAGCTGATCCGAGAAATGTCGCCGCCCATCTATCAGAATCCACAAACTGCAGAAGCCTTCTATCAAAATCACTTTAATGTCATCGTTATAACTTTTGATGTAATCATCATCACCCTCACCTTTAAATTCATTTCAATTTCATCGTCGTCGTCATCATCATCTGTAATATTACCATTGTTACTATTAATTCATCCTCATCATCATCATCATCGCCATCATTAATGACATCATCATCGACATCATCATCATCGTCAACAATTGATATGTCATCACCGTTATTGGTGTGGTGGTCAATGTATTTCTCATTGCGATTGACGATGAGATACCTTCCCATTCTCGCTATTAAAGCCATTTGCAAATCTTTCCACACTCAACACAATACTATCATCATCTTCATTAGCAAATGTATATATCCTTTCATATCACCAACATTTTCACATTATCATCTTAATTTTCATGTGTGTATATATATATATATACAATATTATATATATATATATATATATATATATATATATATATATTATACTATAATGTATACCATTACATTAAATTACCAATATCATTGTATCCATTATATTTTACTCTTTCTATGTTTTAAAAAATCATCTCCATCTTATACATGTAACAGTTGTAACACAAACTGAAGCCTGGAAGAGCCGCATTGAATTGAACGTGTTTGTTGAACTTCACACACGCCTCACACATACACATACATACTCAGTTTATTTATTTAGAATTAATTAACAATAGGTTCATTCTTATATCAATTTTTAAATAGGTAAATAGACATTATGGAAAAGAGAGAGAAATGGATGTTTGTGAGAGGTAAAAGTTCTATTTGTTGGAGAGATTTGCTGGATGGATGGATGGATGGATGGATGGATGGATGGATGGATGGGTGCAAGCAAGCATCAGGTGAACATGATCCAATCAAACCAACAAACATTATTCAAACATTATTATCACTGTCAGACACAATCAAAAACATCAACAACAAACAAGCTTCTTCTTTTCTTTTTACACAAAACTTCCTCAAACAGAAATTGTCTACACACACAAACACACACACACACACAAAAATACATACGTACATACGTACGTACGTACGTACATACATACATACATACATTCATACATACATACATATATACATACATACATACACACAAACAAACAGACATCACCGACATTTGTATCCCAACATTCGTATGAAATAAAAACTACAAAACAGACATCAACAAATTTACAAGCATTCGCTTTTGAAATATTTAACATATAAATAAAAACAAACACCTCACTTAGATCAAGCTAACACGCAGTTAAGTCGTTCGTTCTTGAATAGATGGCATATGTGCGGCACCTACATATGATTCAAATTACTTTAGTACAATTATTTAATTAGGATGCTTGATTGTTTGTGTATTTGGTATATGTTGTTAGTGTTTAATTATCTGCCTGTGTATGTATTTGTATACATTTATATATTTAGGCGAGATTGTACGTTTGTATGAATGTGTGTGTATTTGTAAGGATGTCTGCCTGTTTGTTTGTACTTCTGTGTTCATCTTTTAAGTTTATTTTCCATTTTAAATTCTTCTTATTTTAATTTGTGAACACTCAACAGGCACATCATGATCCATTACTATCTTCTATTAACTAACATTATTATTATTATTATTATTATTATTATTATTATTATTATTATTATTATTATTATTATTATTATTATTATCATCATCATCATTATCATTATTATCCTTATTAACTTATATCGCGTCCTATGCATAGCTTGAGAGGCGCTTGGATGAGCAATGACTTTCGACGTCTCCGTAGGCTTAGATGAACAGATAGTTCTTCAATCGTTTCCTGAAAAGTTGGATGGTTGGTTGTTGACGAATGATGGCGGGCAAACCATTTCATATGGAAGGAGAACTGTACGTAAAACATTTGTTGACAGCTGATGAATTGCTGCCAGGTTGATGCAACTGAGTATATGAAGACGAACGAAGTTGACGAGTTGACGAACGACGCGATATAAGTTGATGAAGATATGATGGTTGAGATGTATTAAGTAACTTGTACGTGAGGACGGCGGGTTTAAATATAATGCGTTGACGTACTAGAAATCAATGTAGTTGAATGAGTGAATCTGTGCTGGATGATAAATTACTGATATTTAAAACAAATTTTGCAACTCTATTTTGAGCTCATTGAAGTAAAGTTAAAAGTAGGATGGAAGACCATGGAAAAGAGAATTACAGCCAGTGTTGTTAATTTTTAGTAATAATTTTTAGTAATAATTTTTAGTAATAATTTTTAGTAATAGTAATAATGTCGTAAAGATAATTTTTTAATAACTAATTTTAAACTTGTTAACTTTTGTTAATGAATCAATGAATGAGTGAGCGAGCGAGTGATTGAATAAATGAACGAACGAACGAATCCCTATGTACGAATGAATGAATGAAAAAATGAACATTCAAAGAGAGAATAGTTTGTTTACATATGTTGATGTTTGCCTGGCTGGTCGGTAACTAATTGAAAACTATATAAAAGAGAAGTCATAATAAACTATGTTTATCTTACTGATCAGCATTGTGAAAATTAATTTATTTCACATTTGGTGACGTTAAACTCAGTTAATCCTTTTTTCATCAATCTGCTATTGCAGTTGCTGGTTGCATGTTGCTAGTTGTTTGTTGCTAACTGAGACGTAGACTGACTCGGCTGGACAATTGAATACGTTCGATATTGCTGTAAAATTAAACAATGAGAAGCATTGTTTGTGATCTCCGCATGCAAATGCAACAAACACAACACTATCATGAACTAACAACACTATCATGATATAATATCATAAACACAATGATAAAAAAAACGTGATAACTCCTCAATAAAATATACAACAATTAAATTTTGAAATAAGCGCATTCAAAAGTCTACATTACAGTAACTCTCAATGCATTGTGTTATAACGTATTGCAATAAATCACATAAAAATACGTCAACATAACATCAAAACACAATAACATAACATCAAATCACATTAAAATACACTAACATAGCATAAACAAAATACATTAACACTACAATAAGTCAGAAACTTTTGAAAAATATGTCATTATTATTAATATTGCTTCTATAAGTAATAAAGTTTACAATCTATATATCTAAATTTAGTTTACAATCAATATATATATAATTGTAATTAAGTTTTGAATGCATTGCCCTAAATTCGATTTCTTTAAAAAATATGAGGATAAATAAAGGCGTTATATAAGACAAGTAGAATCTTATACAGTAATAGGTGTTCAATTATATTAGTACAGTTGTTTCATGGAGCTTGGTCAAAATATAATCCACATGTTGCTTAAACTTTAGCTTAGAATCAATAATCACACCAACTAATTTGATACTCAGAAATTTTTCAGTGACATGTCACTGATAAATAACAAAGATAATTTAGGACCAAGAATACTTTCCTGTGGCACCCCGCTTAGTACAGTTCGAGTCGTTGATTTAGATTAACCTACACCAACGTATTGGAGACGATTCTATAAAAAAAACCAGCCAACCACTCCAACGCAATACCTCTAGTGCCATAGTGTTCGAGTTTCTCGATCAATATCTTATGCGAGACGGAATCAAAGACCTTGGCGAAATTGAGAAAGACTGCTGAGGCAGTTCAAATTGCTTGTGATCATAAAAATCTAATCATTCAACAACAATTCATAATCTAAAGCCAAACAATCCATACAAACATAATATGTTAGCTAACTAATAATACTATTCAGTCGGACCTCCTTATAACGAACTTCTATACAACGAAATTTTTTATATAACGAATTTTTTATGTTCACTGGAATTATAAACATAAAACTGTTTCTACACAACAAAAATAATTTCTCTAAAGGAACAACATTTATATAAGTTAAAAAAAATATCTGACCAACAAACGTACAATGAATTGGTATGAGCGGTGTTTTTGTACTCCTTTAATATCTTGGAACCATATTTATTGTTTCTTGTTCTTGTCTTCTAGTAATTTTTGCGAATTCTGCCTCAATTAATTCTAATGTAATAGGAATCATCGTTGTATGGAACAAAGAACAAATTTCACTTTTAAAATTTTATTTTTTACAATTATACTATGAATCATTACTTTCTGCCATCAAAATTAATGATTAGGAGGTTGTTTTTCATAAATATATAGCATATAAACACCATTTAGGCGCAATAAAAAATTTTTCAAGAATTAATTCTCTATAAGGAAATTTCTATATACCGAATTTTTCTTTTTCTAGAACCATCAAACTTGTTATACGGAGGTCCGACTGTATAAGTACAACATTTTTGTATACTATCGTAAATGAAAGTAGTAGCAGAATAGATACAGATTCAGATACAGATACAGAAAGGAATGTACAAATGATGATTCAGACAAGTACATGCGTAGTATCATTTAACAGCACACATCTAGTAAAGTTCAATATCACAACTGGCATGAGCTGGAAGTTGATTTATCCAGAGAATATTTTGAAAGTCCATTATTGGTAAATATTTTAGTATTAATATATAAATATACATAATATATATATATATAGATAGAGAGAGAGAGAGAGAGAGAGAGAGAGAGAGAGAGAGAGGGAAGTAATTTGATGTTGTGCCGGCTGATGTCACTCAAATCATCAAGTCCACCCTGGCACCCCCACTAAGATAAAAATTTTAAATTTAATTTAAAAATAATTTTTTTAATGTCTGCTTTTGCTGACTTGTTCATTCTTTCATTCATTCATCCATTCATTCATACATTCATTGTTTGAAAATCTGTATATCCACCATTTCAATTGTAGTTATCATCATCATCGTCATTATTATTACTATTATTATTCCTGTTTTGCTATTTGTCAATTTATATTTTTATTATTGTAATATAATTTTATAATTGCATATTAGGTTTATTATGTTTATTCTTTTTTGACATGTCACACACAACACACACACACAAACACACAAACAAAACACTTATATATATATATATATATATATATATATATAGTTTACCGATTTATTTGTCTGTGTGTTGCAATACATATGAACATAAAAAATGTATTTATTTATTTGTTTATCTGTATATCTGTATATTTTTACTGATTTGAAACTTCTATTCGTTAGGTATTAATCGATTCCTCTACCTACATAGTCTTTTGTCATCTGCATATATGTCATCATCTTCATCATCACCGTCGTCGTCATCTTTTTTGTCATCATATCATCATCATCATCGTCATCATAGCATCGTTATCATCGTTTTACACCATCACCATCGTCATCCTGTGAACATTACATCCTCATGTCATCATCAGTAGAATCATCATCATTTTCCTTTATCATTATCATCATTATTTTTCCATTCATGGACGCGTTGTTAACATTATCACTATATGATGAAGTTTGTAATATGATGATAATTCATAACGGCCGTCACGAAACTAGTGTTATCATCATCATCATCATCATCATCATCTTCATCTTCATCATCATCATCACCATCATCACCATCATCACCATTGTTTATATCATCCTCATCATCGTCGTCATCGTTGTCATCATTATTGTTCATATCATCATCATCACCACCACCACCACCAATGATGGGCTGCGTATCATCATATTGGATTATAACCATTAATTTACTCATTACAATACATTTCTTGCATTGATTTATATGACATAAAATTCAACAACAATAATAATAACAACAACGATAATAATAATAACAACAACAACAATATTAATATTAATGTTGTTACCAGATTCACAAATAACATAAACAGAAGCAGCAACAACGGCAAGCAGTTTTATTTTGAGCAGGCAAGCAACACAATGAAAACAAAATCATTGTTAAAGTTTCAAACATTCACTCAGATTCATATAAAAATTTATGGAGCTTAGTGTTTAGACTTAATACGTACACAGTATATTTATTCTAAAGTAAAATGAAATTAGTATAAAGACTGAACATACGTTGTCGAGATGGTATATTGGTTAAGGTACCCGGCATAGATGTTGAAGTGACCATGTTCGAATGCATTGACGTCTCTACCTATCAAGCATAGTCTGAGTGATGATGCCTTTAGTCACATGTATGCTTGTTGTTTGTTGATACCTCTGAATGAAAAATACTGAACGCAAAGAATATCAAAAATTGCAAACAAACAAATATGCAAAATTTCACACAGACATGCAAATATATGATAGGATACACCATGACAGAACATACATCGGGGGCTTGTGTAAAATGGCGTAGAAAGGTAATCGTGTTCTGACGGAATGTAGTTGAGGGGACATCTCAAAATGCCAACAAACGCTGTTTTAAAGTTGGAAAACTATTTTCTGTGTTCGCAATGTATACACATTTACAAACATTTCTAAACACAAATGTTCGTACATCCACAAACATCCACAATCACAAAACATACTTATTGAATGCAACATGCATGCATAAGACATAAAATTTATTGTTATTATTATTAATAACACAGTTACTTATTATTGTTTATATTATTATTTATTATTATTGTTATAATTATAAAATTTCAGTTAATTTAATTTCAACGGTTATACAATGTTGAGCATGTAAGCCGATTGTTTCGACTGAAGTTCAACAACAACTATGTTGTTTTGTTTGTTAGCTGTTAATTTATTTCGTGATGAATAAACTGTTAAGGTTGTTATTTATTGCCATAAGATATTCAACAAAAATTTCAATAATTCCAGATAAAATTAAACCAAAATTATAGATGACTCATTTGACATCTGCATCTTTCAAACAAAATTTGAAAAAAAACAACAAGAAACAGCAAACAACAACACCACACAGTTACAACATCAAAACATCAGTTTGAAAAACTCGATTTTTAGAACATTTGGTTAATTTCTTGCTCCCATCAAATTTCCAAAAAATTACAGTTACATAACTTTGGTCATAACCAATTATAAATAACAATTATTAACTGCGTTATCTACAGGGTGAAAGATCAATAGGATCCCAGCATTTATGATCAAATATACTGAAGTGGCATAAATATAATACAAATATTTTTTCATTGATTCAAAA